TTACAGTCTTGAAATGAACACCTATATTTCTTACAGAGAAAATTGTTCAGCAAATGCTCTTATATAGACTCTTCACTTTGTTTCCAGAGACTGAAATACAGTGCCAAGCCTTTTCTTGCTTATTGGGGTATATTGAACAACTAAATTTTTTCTTTTTAGTGAAGTCATTCCCATATTTTGAAATTGGCCTTTCTATTTTAGGACTGTGTTTACCGAAAAACATCTATTCTATTTGTAGTTTTGTGTTTAGTAATAGGTCAAAGCCTCTAGGGTTTCACACTTGAATGAATTACATCCTGAGGAATCCTGTGTACTGAGAAAGGCAGATTAATTAACATAATCAAACATGTCTCAGTAAAACCAGTATCTAAAACTACAGTGATGTCATATCCCATCACAACACCCTCTTAAAATGCTGTAATGTTCAATCTGGCAATACAAGTGTGGTAAAGACTACATACATGAGGTCTTTTACTCCTTACCATTTTGATACATGTAGTTTTCAACTGTCAGCTTGCAAGCCAATCTACTGTTTGTAAAGTCAATTTATTGCTTTTCTAAGAAAATAAATAATCCTACCTTTGTAGCTGAATATATCATTACAAAACTTTTTGGGTTTATAGGTTCACGGGTTTTAACACTGCAGCCATTGTTGACTTGAACTTAATCTCAAGGTTCATCAGATTTTACCCAGCGGCTTCTGGACCAAACCCAGAACATACAGCTGACCTAGATCTAAAGACCTTAAAGGGTGATCAGTTTTGCTCCCTCTTTAGTTGTTTCAATCTTTTAATTGCTTCAAAGTAGGATTATTCTTTTTCTATTCTGAATTCATCTTTTATTGTGTTCCAGTCTTGCTAATTTACTATCTCTCCTTATTTTAAAAATTACTTTCACTTCACAATTGCTTTCACTTCATGAAGGTGTCTAAAGACTCCTCTAAACTTTTCTGTTTTTTACAAGCTGAACTTCTTTAATCTTATATTAGGAAAGTATTCCAAACTGTACTGTTCTTGCAGTTCTTTTCAGAAACCTTTCAAATCTGCCAGCTGCCTTCTTACAGAATGATTATTTAGATATACTGAACATGTTTAGAACTGGTCACACTAAAATGATAATAACAACTTCTCATGACTACCACTATAATTAGTTTGCCTTAATATTCCAGAAGAACTCTGTCACACCAAAAAGCATATTAAGTAATCCTTCCATTTGCATGTGCACTTTGGTTTCTTGGTATGAACACTTTGGAGTACCTGCTTTGTGTAAACTGTATGTTAATAAAGTGAGATATTCTATAAAATTGACCTATCTTACCTTTTGCTGAGTGCAAATATACAAAGTTTTGCAAGTATCCCCATTTCAGAGACAAAAAAAAAAGTTATCTACTGTTATGATCCACATGAGGATCACCTTCTAGTAACCTTAAGGCATTTTTGACTTGCAGGCCAGTCCTGGTGAACGTCTCAAGCTCCTAAATACAAGTGATTTACCTTCAAATATACCTAAATTTTGGTTGGATTGGAGAAATAGTACCCGTACAGCCTGCTGGTTAGAAGGAGAATTAGAGATTGACATTAGAATATTTTGGTGAAAACTTTATTTCAACATACTAATGTTTTCTATTTATAAAGAATCTACTTTGATTAATCTCCAGTACTACTGAAAGTAAATTATACAGTTCAGCTTTGTGTGCATAGGGTGTCCACATACCAGCTATCATGTTTTGAAAGATTAACAATATTTTATGTTGTTGTTATCCATGTATATGAGGCATATATAAGGGAACATCATTAATATTTGAGAGAGATTTATGTCATGAAGAAGCTCTGTGGATTTTTTTTTAAAACATATGGTCAAATAAGTCTCACCTTTCACTTTACTGTAACTGACAGAAGGATCAAGAGATACCATAAAGATCTTCTAAAGACTGGACAAAGCCATTTGTTTGGCTTTGTATATCAAACAGGTAGGTCTACCAGTAGTGCTATGGTAAAAATAAAAGATGGTAATTAAAAGAATAGTGAATCAAAACACTTAGGACACTATTAGGGAGTATTTTATCAAGGCTTTTGATTAAAAATGAAGTTTGCTTCTATGTTTCTAACCTCATTGGAGTCAACAGTGTATGCTTGAGTGCTCTGTTGAACTGGAACCTTTTATAAATCAAAGTGGGTTGTTTGAATTCACTCAGAAGAGAGCATTTTAATATTCAACACTACCCATAGAAAATTTTCAAAAGCTTGAAAACAACAGTCTTATTTAGCAGAACAAAATGATGTAATGGCAAAGTTGCTACTTAAAGCACAAGCAAGTATATATTTTTCCCAAAAGGATTTTGAGAAGCTTGAACAATGCATATATAAAGTATAGCCTGCATTTATAATTAATAGAACTGTTCCTATTAGAAACCTGGACAGTTTGTGATGGTAGTTTTAACTAATAGCACCATAAGAAAAATGCACTTGCCTCAGTGTAAATACATGAAACGTTAGATCAATTAATTGTTGGAGTACATAACGCACAAGAGTAAACAGTGCTTGAAAATGCAGCCTCACTACAAACTTATTTTGAGGGGAAAGATGGGAATCAACTGTTCTGAATATACGAAGGAAGTAGTCTACACTGATTCTGTAGAGCACCTGCATTGACAGACTGCCCTTGAGTAAATAGAGGATTTTTTAGTTTGCTTGTTATTATGTTTTCTATTAAGCGTTTAGACAAGTTCCTTTCACGATCATTGTTGCCACCCAGGACTACAGGGAGAACAAGAAAAAAGTAACTTTTTTGCAAAGTGGGCCTAGAAACTTGAAGCATCCCTGCTTTAATGTAGTTACTTCTAATTTAAAAAGTTCGGGTACAGAGGAAATAAGTTAGTGATATTCTAGTTCATTCTTCAGCTGTACACTTGATATGTATTAACAAAGAAATCCCAACTGGTTCTAAATTGTTTGGCAGGTATTATTATTCAGCAATACCTGCTGGAACAATAAGAGCTAAAAAAAAGAATAAGGATATTGTGGAAATGGAAAATGTAAGTTAAGAACTGAGGTGAAGCTACATGTGGGATATTTTTGAAATAAAATCTAAAGAAATAGAAAAGAAGAGGCAATATACCTGAAGGTGGAATATCTGATTGCTCTCAAAATTTCTAATTAAATACCCTATTTCTAATTCACACCCTATCCTTGGATATAAGGAATGCATAAAATCCCCATTTCTAGTTTCCTTCCTACATCTTCTCTACTAAATGACCTTTTAATTTCCTTTTCTGTTTTTTTCTATTCTGTGTTAAAAGTTGATCTATATTGCACTCTCTGTCTTTCCATCTTCCTTTTTCTCTGATGAGGTTATTATCCTTCCCTCAAATTTCAGTTTCTTTTACTTTGCTTCATGTACCTTATCTTGCTGAACCTTCGCCTTTTTCCACATCTGCTTCCTTCTTCGGTACTTTAGTTTTATATGGCTTTTTAATAGTTTTAATGAGACTCCAGCATGAGAAAATCATGTGGGCTGCACAACTAATGGAGCTGCACAAGTAGTGGGGCTGCTATCTAACACAAATTAGTGGCTACTGGAAAAAACAAGCCAGCAGATTACACTGAGGCAGTTAAGGAGAGGGGAATATGCTCAGCCAGATTTCTCCTTCCATTGGCTCTTCTTGACATGATATGGGTGCTTGAAGGCCACTTTTTACAGATTCACACAAAGTATCCTTACTTTACAATCTCATACATATTTTCCTCTTCTATCCCTCTCCAGGTGTAGCCCTTCCTCACAATTTTTTCATTTTCTTTCATGCACAAACCATACGGATTCCCACAAGAATTTCTCAAACAATATTTCTCAAATCAAATCCTTTTCTAAGGAAAGCAGCTTCTGATTTGCATGAAATATTATTTGGTTAGAGCTGATAACACCAAGGTCATGGTTTGATCCCCATATGGACCGTTCACTTAAGAGTTGGACTTGATGCTCCCTGTGGGTCCCTTCCAACTCAGAATATTCCATGATTCTGGACTCACTTTCCTGCTGGCACCCATACTTGTAACGTTATTCTCCGTTCTTCCCTCTTCTCATAAGTAACTTTCTGGTTTCCCTCTAACTAGGTTCCTTCCCTTGTTCCTTCCCACAATCCCATCCACTCTCCTCCCCAGCTAAGTTTTCAAACTCTTTGGATTTCCCTCCTAGTCCACCTTATGGCACTAGATCATCTTTCTTCTCTGAAAAACTCAAATAGAACAGGATATACTTTTCCTGTGTCAGTCAGTGCTGTACTTTCAAAGTACTGAAATACAGAGATGGGTTTCCCTCGCTCATCCATTTCCGAAGAAAAAGCACACCATCAGCCCTACAGGCAAAGCAGAAGCACCCCTCTTTCACCAATCTTTTCCGACACCTGAGGTCCAGTGAGTTCATCCTGGCCCTTTGATAGTCTCTGCCCTGTGTAGGCATCGACCCGGCCGCCCTTCTTCCCGCGGGAGGGAAGGCGCTCAGGCAGGGACCCTTCTGTGCACAGAGCAGCTGAGCTTTCCCCTGCGCCTCCGCCCGGGGCACCCCTCCAGGGCGCCCCCTCGCCGCAGCGCCCGTGCCCGGTCCCTCCCCGCTGCCTCCGCGGCGCCGCGCTCTCGGGGGGCGGCCGCAGCATCCCCCGCCCTGCCTCCCCCGCCCCGCCGCCGCCGGGCCGCGGCGCGCGCCCCGTGCCCGGGATGCGGCCGCGGAGTTTGCCGCTGCTGGAGGAGCCGGGGCAGCGGCGGGCACGGGCTCCCCGCCGCCGCCGCGGCTCGGCGCCGCCGCCGCCGCTGGGCTAGGCTCCCGCTCGCTGCGCGCGGGCGCGGCGGGGGAGGGCGGGGGCGCGGGAGGCCGGGGCGCGGGGCACTGGCGGGCGCGGGCGCGGAGCCGCCGGAGCTCTCCAGGGTGCTGGGGATCTGCCCGCCCGCCTTCCCGCGGGAGCCGCGCGGCCGCCCTCGCCCATCGAGCAGCGCCGCCGAGCCCCCGCGATGCCTCGGACAGCACCGCTCCCGGGGTCCGCCGCGCCTGCGAGCAGCATGGCCCGGATTAGGTACCTCCGCGCGGCTGTCTCGGGCTTTTATCTGTGGGAAGCTGCGCTACTTCTCAGGTGAGTTGTTTTATTTGGGGAAGTAAAGGTGTCCACCCTTCCCGATTTTCGGGCAGCTGAAATGCCTGGGACTGGCGCGGAAAGACGCCGCGGTCACCGCCTTTCCTCACCACGAACGCCCGGCTCCCTTCGGCAGCCAGGCTGTGGGCACGGAAACTAAATGCATGGGGTCCATGCTTCGCAAATGGCTTTGCAACATTGAGCTGCCTCGACTTTTGGATTTTGCAAGCAGGAGGCTGTGTATTTCCTTCACCTGCTCGCAGTAAGAGTTTGCCGATATGATCTGTGAATTTTATCAGTTTTTAACAGTAATTGTAACATCAATGGTACTGAAAATTCTCCATGTGCAAAGTGTCTATATGTAAAAGTTACAGAAGATAATCTGAGTTGAGAATATATAGAACTTCCTTATTACTCTCAGTTTGTTTCAGTAAAAGGAAAATCACAGATTGATCGGTGATCAAGTCAGGTTGGGGAAGTCTTATATAGAAACAGAAAAACACTAACTGAGTGAAGAGAGGGTATGGTCTACAAAACTTCCGTTGAGAGGGAAAGCTTTTACTGTGCTCCTAGCAGTCTAAGATTTGTATTATGAAAGATGGCAACATATCCATAAATTATGACCTCAGGAGAAGACTGAGGTTCATACGGTTTTTTCTACTTTCCACCCAGCACACTCTTTCTAGGTAATGTTATTATATTAATTCAAGCATTCTTTAAATGCATGGATCTGGGAGTCTAGTGATAGCAGGCTAAAATAAATTTGAGTCTCAGTGAGGGAAAACTTGTAAAGAAAAATCACACATGTAAAGAAACAGACTTTAATGTCATCATGTATTCACTGCTAATGCAGTTACCCATTCTTGTTATCAACAAATATTCTAGCTCTGTACCACAATAAACAAACTGTGGCATATAACATGCCAGACTATTTTAAGAATCCCGCTGTTACTTAATAAAGATTAAATAAACTTAAATTCTAAGAGAGAGTTTGGGGATACATATAAGGGATTTATAACCACAAAGTTAACGGTGTAGTGCCCCACAATGATGGCACACTTCACAAGTGATCAGAGGCTTATAACAAATCTTTCCTTTTTGAGGTTAAGTTAATGACCTGCTTTGTATCAACATATGCAACGTAGATAGTTTATAATGTGGTTTTATTGTAATTGTGCCAAAAGGAAGAGATTTTAAGAAACTAGGTCACAATGAACATGCTTGCTGTGCACAAGGACTATGTAGACTGAGAAAGAGTTAAGAAAGCTGCTCTGAATCTATGTATATGTTTCATATCAATCTCTATACAGAGACTGCTGGTACCTTTAGGTCCAGCAATAATACAGGAGAAACCTGAGTCAGTTCAAGATACAGACTAGTCTTCCCCATGCTTTAATACGGAAAAAAAGTGGGGGGAAAAAGTTAAAATATTAAAAGCTGTAAAATTCTCAAGTTTCCTGGAGTCATTAATTCTAGTTCTTTTCCTGCTGGTAGAATGCTGTTTCCCCTCTCTGTGAGTCACCCAGAGTCCAGCCTTAGCACCTGTATAATACTTGATGAGAAGATGGGTGTGCTGTGAATTTCTAGAAACAGTCAAAACTTAAGTTTTTACTTGCTCAGACATTTTGGAAAAAATAATGTTATCTTCTCTGAAATCATGCAACATCGAAACTTTTCTGCTCTTCATTAAGAATCAGAAGGCTGTGTGAGAAGACTGGATGAACCTAAGGGAAAAAGCTTTCAATACTTGTCCAACAGCCCTGAGGCTATTTAAAATTACTGTTTAAATTATATGCCTATGAAGATAGATGTTTAGTTTTATTTTTAGTGCAGTTAAAAAAAATTAAAAAAGGATTTTTTTTGGTATAAAGTTACAGGCTTGCTACTTTAATGAGCAAAGTCTTAAGATCGGCATGCTTCACAAGAGGAAACTGCACGTAATTTATTTTTTTAAAAAATAAATAATTTCTCATCCCACATCAAAAGACTCTTCAAATTACAATGAATGAAACAAGATGTATATTGCTCATTGTAGGGTCTAATTATTAATTTGATTTCTGAAAGACATTGTAGAAAGAATAAAACATTAGAAGAACAACAAAGCTGGTGAAAGGTCTAGAGAGTAAGTCATATGAGGAGGGCTGATGGAGCTGGGGTTGTGTAGCCTGAAGAAAAGGAAGCTCAGGGAAGACTTTATTGCCCTCCACAGCTACCTGAAAGGAGGCTGTAGCAAGGTGGGGGTCAGCCTCTTCTCCCAGGCAACCAGTGACAGGACAAGAGGAAATGGCCTCAAGCTGTACCAGGGAAGGGTCAGGTTGGACATCAGGAAGGATTTCTTAACCGAAAGTGTTGGAAGCATTGGAATAGGCTGCTCGGAGCGGTGGTGGAGTCACCATACCTGTAAGTGTTCAAGAAACAATTAAAAATGGCATTTAGTGCTATGGTCTAGTTGACATGGTAGTGTTCAGTCAAAGGTTAGATTCAGTGACCTTGAGGTCTTTTCCAACTTTAATGATTCAGTGATTATTAATAGTCTTTTATAATATTGTACATTTGTACTACTATGTCATAGGTGAATAACACAGTTATTGATAATAGATTAATAGATTTTAAAAGTGAAAAACAGTGGTGAAAGCACACAGCAGTCTGGTTTATGCAATGTATTTTAAGACAGGATGAAAAGCTATGGTCAGACCCAAAATAAAAAAAAATGTTGCTTATTAAGGACTGCCAGTCCAAACCCCAGTGTGATACTAAGAGAGTGGAGATGTAAAAAAGAGGGTAAAACCTAGGGAAAATAATTTAATGTATCCTAAAAATAGCTTTAATTCACTACCAAAGAAGGAAAACCACTTCTGAGATATAGTTTGAAATTATAATAATATCTAAGACTGAGTATTCTTCTGAGTTTTCACTAAAGTAATAGTATTAACAAAAAATCCTCTGGATTTACCTGGATTCCAAGAGGTCATAATGAAAGCAAGATCATATTTGTAGAGTCAACACAAATATCATATTTGTAAGTCAAACAGTTTTATAACAGGACACGAACTTGCATGGGCACCAGCACTGGGTCTCTTAGATCTACCCTGTCAGGGACTTGCCAGGGACTTGTTTTCTCTTTAAAGGACGTAGTACATCTATTTTATATGTAGACCTGTGTATAGGGAAAGCACAGGGTGAAAAGGTAGGTGGCACTGTGGAAATGCAAAATAGATTCTCCCTATGTCATCTTTCTTTAGTTATTCGTATTAATATAGATCAAGAATCACACTACAATTAGGTTATTTCCTTTTGCTTTGCTCTTTTTAATATTCCACTGGCCTTACATTGGAGAAACAGTATCACAGACATAACTAATTGCTCTTTGAAACCAGATTCTTGTGGAAAAAACCTCCACGCAACCTAACTCTGGGGCATATCTGAATTTACAGTTAACTGATTTTGAAATTGTTCCTGCATTTCATTGTAAATTGATTTCAGGTGAATAGCTTTAAGAAGCAGAAGTTCTCATCCTTTAAGTCAGCATTAGTGCCTTCAAATAACAAAAGAGAAAAAAAAATCAGCTAAAAGCTATTAAATCTGACATAGCATCACAAACATCTTTGAAAATAAAGATTTTCAGGTGTTCTAATGAGTCTTCAGTTGATTATTAATATGCTAAATATTATACCTATAATACTACTCAAGAAATAAAAGTGTCTGTTAAAATCAGGACAGGAATAAAAGTGTGTGAAAGAAAATCTATTAATTCAAGATGAGAGCACTGAGGTACAGTACTTTTCATTGTCAGTTCAGACTCAATTTTAAATATGGTTTCTGTGAAATAAATCAGTTGACAGACTCCAGGTCCTGATGAAATAGATTTAACATGTTTCAGAGAGTAGCAAGGGAAGGGTAGGTGAGCTAGGAGTGGAGACTCACAGCAAGTCAGGAAGGAGCAGGATCCTACCAAAAAAGTTTGCAGTTGCACAGCACCTGTGCAGGAGAAGAACAGTTCAAACAGCAGTTCAGATTGACTGGCAAAGTTGGTAGTTAAGAGGTAGGTCCAAGGTCAAAGCCAAAGAGTTAGGTCAGCAGACCAGGCTCAGGATCAAAATTATGAAGGTACAAGTCTGAGTGAAAGTACACTCGGACACTAGCTCATGCAGAGACCAAGAGCATCTCCCCAGCTCTCTGGACGGTGAAAAAAAAAAAAAAAGTGAAAACCAAACATGGAAAAAAGGAACAGATCCTGAGAGAAGAGAGGTGAACCTTGCTGAGGATTCTACAATTCAGACAATACACACAGCTCTGTTTCAAAGCTGCACTGCTGCACTCCTAGAGTTCACACTGAGCCCGGGTAGTCAAACCCCTGTGATGGAGGATACTTATAAAACGTTAGGAGGAGACCATCAGGGTTCCCTTGCATATACTCATATACAGGCATTGTACTTTCCAAGACTGAGACAAAAATGAAGTGGGGGTCCTGTGACCAAGAATATGTAATTCTAATTCTCTTGTATTTCAACTGTTCCAGTGAAAACACTGAAATCCCTTTGTATCAATTAGGAGTTTCGTCATGAGTACAAATTTGATCAGAACTTTCACTATCCGTTCCTTATTTCTATAAAAATTAAGTTAGTTTTCTAAGTGACTACCATGTTTATAATTTTGAGAAAGAATAATATGTATATTTTTTGGTTTTTAATACTATAAACTGGAAGAAAATTAAATAATAAAGAAATTTCAGTTAAAACCATGAGTCTTTCAATTCTTACAGTGCTAATGATGTTTTCTTACTTTTCAACCTCTCCTAATTCATTCCTAGCCAATTGATGCTAACAACAACTGAAAGCAAGTAATATTATAAGTGCTGTGCTTCTGTATGATGATAAATGTAATAGCTCCTCTATCAGATTAGTCTTGTCCAGGCATCCTAGGAGTCATGACAATCAAAGAGAATGAAAATTTTTACAAGATTAGAGCTTCTCATTTTAACAGATTCAGAATACAAGCTT